TTTTTTTTTTTTTTGTGCCGGGGATGGAATTCAGATCCTCATGCTTGTGAGGCAGGCATGGTGCCACTGAGCTAAATCTCCGGCCCTGGTAGTCATTTTTTATTGTGCTTTTGATAATCTTTTATAAATATAAAAAATTGAGTATTTTCCCTTCATGTTATATAGAAGTGAGCATTGTTCTGTAAACTGTTCCATATCATGCTTTTGTTTTTCTTCTTACTTAGCAATTTATCTCAGAAGTCTTTCCATATTAATATGTGGAAATTCCCTTTTTCATTTTTTGAAAGCTACAGTGTATTCCATTATGTGGAAAGTAGGTATAACTATTTCCCTCTTGATGAATGTTTTGTTACATCCGACTATGTATGTAATTTTGTGATGGAAAAATATGTTAGCATTTTTTTCTAGAATTATAAAATAAGAAAATCTGGAGGTATCTAATTTAACTCCTTTATTTTGGAGTCCATATTTCAGGAACTAACTGATAAAAAAGGACAAATGGAAAAATTATTCAAGATTCATTTGTAATTTCAGTGGTACTTAGAAGTACGAAAGCATTTCTATTTTAGATTATAAAAATACATGTTATGAGATAGAATAATAAAAGCAAACAGGATCAATTTCCATCAGAAGAAGCAATGACATTTTTTCTTTCATTTATTTAAAAAATTCATAGGACTGATGAAGGCACAAAAATGAACAGTTTGGAAAAGATTAGGAATATTGGTAATTTTAGGATATTTTAAATTGCTTCAAGATTTCCATCATTATAAGGCAATTACATATAGTTACCTTACCTTAAATATCCTATTTATTCTAAATATTGGATTATATCCAAGGAAGAGGTAGAAAACATCAAATGGTATGACTGATGCCACGTCCAACTGTTAGGAGAACACATTAATAATTATGTCATGGTTACATCCTTCTGGAGGACATTGAAAGATTTATATCAAATGAATGTAAAAGTTGGTCAATCACAATGAATTGTTTGCTGTTAAATATGCATGGTGCCATTGAAGATGTGCTAGCACCGTGAAAATAAGAACATTGTTTCAAAGCCTGCTTTCAAAATATTTCATTTCCACCTTCACGCATCTGATTTCTCCTCAGGCACTACATTTACTGAGGTTTTTGTGGAGCTATCATAGACACTTCAGTGATTACATGGTTGCTATTGTTGAAACACATATTAATAATATTTTAAACATGAGACTCTGGAACTAAAAATCAGGACCATTTTTGATTATGTTTGAAACTAATGCATGATCATTGATGTGCTTTTTTTTTATATTCCAACCAATTCTACAGTGTTCAGAGTAGAGTAAACTGGTGTGGCTGAACTGCATTATTCAGTATTTCCTACTGATGTCTAATGTGGACCATGTTGCTACCAATTAACTGTTGTGTAAGCATCAGACAAGGTGGGCTAAGAGAGAGGAAGAGAAAGAAATCCCTTCTGTTTTCTATTAATCAGCCACTCTGATGGAGAAAGGTATTGAGAGTACTGCGCAACTACAACTAAACACATGGATTTTTAAAATGTGTCATGAACTTAAGGCTTTTCACACCCTGGTAATTCTGAAGTAACAACATCATATTTGCATGTTTTCTGATCACAGCAGAAAGAAATTCTTTTATAAAACATAATTATTTATTTTCAGTAAATTTTATGTGGTCTTGAGCAATAGGGTACATTAAACAAATTTAAGCTATTTTAAGACAATTAAGAGCAGTTAGAAGCATATTTTAAGGCCATACATATGAATGACAGTCGAGGTAATTGTGTATCAATTTCAAATCCAACTGCTATTGAATGAAAATGAAACTTGTTGTCTGAGTTAACCAGATTAGCTATTATAAAATACTAAAAGCATTGGTTTAGAAATTGCATCATATCATGGAACCTCATTCTTTTATCCTACAGATATCTCTAGAGATACCGGTGTTTATTTCTCGTTCAACTTTTACCTTTTATTAGTACATATTTGCAGTACTTAATGATTACGTTCCTTATGGGGAGTTGGTACATTCACAGATCACATCTCAGTGCTTTTTTCATCCCTCTTCTCCTCCCTCCATCTTTTCATTCCCTTCCCTTTTGTAAAAAGATCTATCTTCTTATTTCCTATTATCTTTTATTTTGCTCTTTATATCTTTGGGATTCTCATATAACAAAAACTATGAAATATTTGTAACAACAAGAGTTGAGTCTGAGAGTTGATAGGTTCTCGTTCAAATCAGTTCTAGTTCATCACAATGTTCTTTTCTTTTCGTACTTTCTATCCAGTTGCTCAACTTTCCACTTGACTTCTCTATGCAGATAGTCAATAGTCATTTTTAATGTTAATCCATTGGCCTGTTTTTGTGTAGATAGAGTAATATTTATTTTTTTATTGAATTGTAGAAAATTGTATTGACTAGTAATTAACATCAAATGCCACACAAGACACTTTATAAAGCATGTTGGGGTTGAAATAGCAGTAAGAAATTACTTTTGTTCACTAGAAGTTAGTCTCATAGTACAATAACCAAGTACAAAAATTATTATCATGAAATGCCATAAGACAGCAGGATGTACTAAAGATATTCAAAAGGGGTGACCACAAGTAATGTTAAAATTTTACAGTAATAAGTACCAATTAAAAATATAAATTAGTTTGTAGATGGGGAGGGGAGGAGGGGGTGAAGGGAGGGCAGGGACAAGGGGAAAAAATGAGAACCAAGACCTGTCATGTAAAGGTACAAGATCCCAACAATGAATGGAACTGTACTGTATCCCTAAAATGTACCAATAAACAAAATTAAAGCTGAAAAAAATTAATTTTACCCTTATTCAAATTCAAATAAATACTGTAGTAAGAGTTTGGAAAGTGGTTTGTAGATTTTACAAATAATATGTATCGAAGGGAGGGCAAGGACAAGGGGAAAAAGTGAGAACCAAGACCTGTCATGTAAAGGTACAAGATCCTTATAATGAATGCAAGTATACTGAATACCTAGAATGTACCAATAAACTCAATAAAAAGAAAAACAAAACAAAAACAAATAATATTTATTCTCTGTGACATTTATAAAGTGTTGTAGATCATCTATGAATACATCTGATATGTGATGATGCATTACAAAGAAAATTAGTTGGACATAAAGATCAATTAAATGGAATTTTAATCACTGAAGATTGCTAACATAGAAAATTTGGAAGCTAAGCCCAGATTTGTGTTTTTTATAATAAAATTTGAGATGCCTAATTTTTCCTTAAGGTGGGAGGATAGAATTCACACATACAGACTGAGTAACTTTGAAAAACTCCCAGTCACTGCTTATTTCTCAGAGGTAAGAGGACAAATAAAAAGTAAGGAAATATTTTGTAAGTTATCAGAATAACAAAATATAAAATATATTGTTATGTGAGGAAATGCAGATGCTATTTATTGATTTGGTACCAGGGATCGAACTCAGGATCTTGCGCTTGTGAGGCAGGGGTGGTGGCACTGAGCTAAATCCCTGGCCTGATACTATGCTGTGCTATTTAAATAACTGCTTCCATTTTTTGTTTTGTTTACATGAACAAAAAAGAAATGAAATTAGAAACAACTTTGCAGACTTTTACACTATCATGCTACAAGAAGAAGAAAATAGAATTCTGTAGACAGGACAAAAAGCACACCCGATATTTCTTTAATATTGACCTTTAAATCAGAATTTAAATGTGGGCACTAACTTAATCTGCTTAATAATGACCATGCATTGAACTACCCTTTTGTAAAAACTTCATGTCTCCCATTGTTCCATAAAACCTCATCTTTATGAACTTTTGTTACAAAAGATGATTTATTTATAGAAATGAGACTTAAAATGATAATAGATTACTTGAAAAGTTTCAAAATTACTTGGAAGTCACCCACTTGAAATTTTGTAGAATTCCTGTAGTGTCTCTTCAGCTCATTTGAATCCACCTGAAATATATTTATACTTCAGTTAACTTCAACCAATTTTGTTATTTTTTTCACTTCTTATTCTTACATTTATAGCTAGCTGTTTCTTTCTTCAGGACCCTCTCAATCCCAGCCTATAAATATATTCTGAACATTTTGAAACAGAATAGCTCCCTTGCCCCATTGTCGGTCAGTTGAACTGAGATTCTCAAGACAGTCATGTACATTGCTTCACTCCCAGTCCTTCCTCAGACTTATCCTTAAGCCCTGGCAAGTTTTGACACCTTGGCTTCTTTCCACTTCTTTCATCACATCAAGACCAACAGTGCCAAGCCCAGCAATAACCTGCTAATCATAACGTTCAGGGAGTCCTTTCTGGTACTCAGCATTTTGTACGGCCCTCATCAAACTCTGAAAGAATACACATATGTCTTTTACAATCAGTTTGTTTAAAATCAGTCTACGTGATCAAAAGGTAATCTATTTGAAGACAGGGCAGCTAAAACAACTGTACCTACTTGGTGCCTGGCATACACCAAAGAGTCCAATAAATGATGATTGAGGGGTGAAGGAACAGGAAAGAAGAGATGAGTGAAGGTTTTTGAAACATATGACATTTTTGGGAGCAACTTTGTCCTTCAATCTATCAGTAATGCCACTCTTCACTCACTTTACTTCTTAGGTTCCAACTTTTGGGTATCCTTCTAGGACTCTTGGGTGAGCCATTGAAAAGTTGACATGCTCCATGATTTCACTTCCTTCTCTTTCCTCTTTATACTGACTTTCTGAGAAATCACAAACCACTTTTGTCATTTCAAAGACCATTATATATGTTGAGTTTGCTGAATGTCTACCTCCACCTATAACACTTTCTTGCTGTTTGTGCACAGCCTGGATTAATCATCATTCTGTGTTTCCTTCGAGCCTAACATGAAACTACTCCTGCTATTGTGAATCCTGTAAACATTCTCATCAACACTGGTTAGTGATCCTACACTACTCTCTGTTTTGTAGCTCCCTTCAACCACCAACCCAGTTTTACAGATTCTTCTTCCTAAAATTTTGTGTTCATTTTCTCCTGTTGGCAATGCTCTACCTGTCTTAACTCTTGCTCTACTCTACCCATTTTACAATGATAGGCAGATGCTTTCTCTAAATCAGACTATTGAACAATCTTCAGTTATGTCAAATCCTAGGGCTCTACATGATTTTAAGAAAGAAGTAGCTTTCATGGTAGGCAAGGCTTTGCTTTCTGAGTCTCAGGTGCCTCCGGCAGCCTTCAACACCCTCTCTATTGAGCAGCTCCTCAACTGCATCAGAGGTTCTTACTTCAACACCATGCTGTTCCCAGAGCTCAGAGCATGTTTCTTTTTTGCAGGGGGAAGAGGATGCAGACAACTCTGTCCTCTCTGTCAAGACTTGGATGGAGAGCCTTTTCTTTCACATGGTTTACTCTGAGCCTCGTAGCACCCTGGGATTACCTTTGTCTTGATTTGCAGCATAGAATTCCACCATTTTCCTTTCATTTGTCTTTCCTTCATACCTGAGCTATGAGAGATACCTATCTTTGACCTGTTTCTCACTTCTGAATGTCTAGAACAGAGCCTGGATTCAATAAATGTATTATATGTAATGGAAGAGTGGAGAAGGATTAATAGTAACATTGATATTTGACTTACAAGTTAAGGTTAATTTTAGACTTACATTCATATGTTTCAGTTATTATGTAAGAAGAATAGTTTTGTATATTCTTAGCTAGTTGATAGAAGTGTTGGAAAGTGGACATGTAGAAACAGCATTGTCTAACAATCATCCATCCATGCTGTTCAAGTTCATAAGTTTTAAGATACTGCTGGGTAACGTGAAAGACTGGCTAGTCAACTCCTCAATTCCTACTTCCTCTCCTTCCTTTTTTGTCAATAATTTTTCCCCACCTCTGCACACCAAATTTTACACAAATACATTGGAAAACATAGAAGATGTCCTTATTTAATGATTTGCACTGTGGAATGAAGTGGTTTACTAAGTTATAGGTGCACACAAGTAGGTTTAAGTTGCTAGCCTTGTAAATCATTTTCTGAGCTTGAGTAAAGTTGATCAGCTCTCTTTGAACTTATGTGGGCTAGAGAGATGCAGTTTGAGCATTAAGTTGTTCAGTTAAAATACTAAATCCTCCCTTCATCCAGGAAGAATGTTTTAAGCACATTTATCCCCTTGCTTTCAGAGTTGTTCTATAATTGAATAAATGTACATGCGACTAAAAACTTGTTAGATTAAGAGAAAGTGCCATCTCGTGATTTCAAAATCCCTTTTCTTTAGAGCACTAAATACATTTGGCGTCTTTAGCCTAGGAGGATCAGTGTGCTTACCGGTAACAATTAGGTACTTATTTTAAAAATGTCACCATACTTAATTCTCTCTCTGTCTTTTAAGCCTCCTCACTGTGCAGGCAGCATTTGTTCAGGGTAGCCTTACTTTAGGCAGGATATGCTAATTGCACTGAAACCCTTTTCAACAGTTTTTAAAGAAGCTCTATTCAGATGTCAGTATATTTACTTATAATCCTCTTCGGCTGACAAACAACTCTGTAACTCTACATGGAACAGATAGGAAAAGTATCAAAAAGAATACCATATGAAACAACCATAACACAGACCAAGCAATTATGTAGGAAAAGAAAATCCTTGAATCAGTATTATCATTCATTAATTCCTACATACATATCCTGGGTTTATGAGTTCCCAGGTTGGACAGGAAAATGAATAAGTATGTCCTTTCTTCCAAGAGAAGTAATTCCAAGGGAATTGCTACCAAGTAAGAAAGAGAGCTACATATATAAATAGGAGACAAAAGAGAAAAGTTTGTGGACATCCATTCAATTCATTTCTGAGCATCTTCTACATGGCTACCATGCACGGCCTCATGAAATCAAACTAGATTCATAAGGTAGCTATTTTCCGTTGGTGTGTGAAAAGGAAATGTAGAGTGAAACAGTAAGTTTAGTGTTTTCAAACAATGCTGTTAATACATTTAAGAAGTGAAATGTGACCATAATGTTTTTCTGCAGTATGATAATTAGCTTAGTATTTATTTAACAAAATTGAGAGACACTAATATGAGTAAAGCATGTAGGATACAGAGAAAGGAGTGGTTAATTTTTGCAGGCCAGTTTATAAACAGTTCTTGTGAGGATAAGTGCTGAAAGCAGCGGACTATCACAGGAGGCTTAATAATTGGCATTGTCACTAGCTGGTGTTGAAAGTTTCCAGGGATCCTTGCCGTTGATGGGTATAGCTGTGGTGGGGAGTGGAGATGTCTCATATGTAAATAGTTCCCACTGCCATTTCCAATTTGATTTCTACCATGTATAAGGGAAATTACACACAACAGAAATTTTTGTTGGTTTTATGTTCAAAATTCTGATCTCCGTGTACCACCACTTTCAGAGGTAAGATACTATAAATAAATGTGGAAAAATTTGTGAACCTCCCTAATTCCTTCTCTTGAGGCTGTTAGCACCTCTTGTATTTCTATTTTCTAATTGTAGTATTGTGTAAAATAATGAAATATATAAAGTGGTAGTATACTTACTTGGCAATTGTAGGTATTTAATAAATGTTTGCTGAACATTAAATGAGTAATTTGATGGTGTCCACTGAGGATAACATAGATACTGTACTGGGAACTTTAGGTTGGAGAGTCAGTGTGCTCAGTCTTTGTACCAAAATGTAATCAAGTTTCACAGGCTGAAACCACCTACTCTAAATTAAAGAAACCATTAAACATTTTCTGAACAAATAAACCAATTAGCTCCTGCTCTATTTTTGTAGCTTGAGATAATGCATTTTAAATAAAGCCCATTGAATGTGTTTTTATTGGTTATTGTTTTTTTTTTTTTTGGTTTTAACACTCCATTGTGTGTAAAGGCCTCTTAGAAAATTGAAAACAAAAGTCTCCCTTTACTGATTTTGTCATTTTCCATTTGTCAAACATTGATTTTCTCCCCCTTTGTACATCTAATGGAGGTTGAAATTAGTACTCTTTTTCTGGTGTTGTTTACTTCTTGTTTGTGCACCCTCACGATCATTTATCAAGCTGCCAGCCAGCTCTGGGGAGAGTGCTGGTGAGTTAACTAAAGCGCCAGTCTGCGCAAGGAGAATTTTGAGTAGATTTTTGCCATAACTTTGGCTCTTGGCTTTAGGATTTCTTTCAAAGAAAGGTTTTGAATGTAGGGAATGCAACGCCCAAAATAAAATTTAAAAAAATGATTTAAACTATTCCTTTCACCTTTTTTTTTGGATGATGTAAAATCTACAGATTCAAAGGAAAATATACAGAAAGTAAAGGAATCTCCAGCTCTTCTCCAAAAATACATATGAGCCCAAGTTGTGATATACTTAGTCCATTGGTTCTTCCTCATGTGACACCAGAAGCCATTGCTGTGACTTGTGAGTTAGGAGGTCAGCAGAGGATGTCAGAAAAAAAAAAAAAAAGGAGCAATCTGGAGGTTAACTAGGGAAGGGACAATCAAGTAGATGCTACATGATTTAGATATGTGCTTGCAAAAACATTTTTGTTTCTCTGTTAGATTAACTGGGTTAACTATGAAATTCCAACATGGAGAATAAATCCAGTAGAAGATACATTCTCTTATGAGTATGAATGCTAATTTCTGAAATAGGCCGGAAATGCACTGCACTTGACTATGAGAAATGGGTTGTGATGAATCTGGAAAGCCATTAAAGAAAAGAAGATAGACCAGCAGATGTGATATTCATTAAAAAATAGAACAACTGTGATGATTGTCTGCTTGCCTGTGATTTACACATGTTGGCAAGGTGCACGCCTTCCTCTCTGTGGCTTGGCTCTCTCGATAGAGATACTGAGAGCTCATCACTTGCTCAGCCCTGTCCTGCACTTTCAGTCCCTTACAGTACTCTCCCATAGCATGATGCACAATGGTGGAAGTCTTCTGCACTGCCTAACAGGAGTGGTGGAAATATGGATAGTGTGGATGAAAAATGTGAATTTTAACTGTAATTAAGTAAAGTTTAAATTTGCAGGGACACCTATGCCTAGTGGCCACTATATTGTGCAGCACAGTGAATTTACACTGATTGAAAGGATCATAGTAGCTCGACTTCTTACCATAGATTTTTCCAAAGTGTCTACATCTCAGACCTTTTGCTTGACTCCTGTAGAACATACTTACACTGTGTGCAGTGTTGACTATGTAATGATACAAGATGTAGCTTGTGTGTTAAACAAATTATAATTTAGTGTTTGTTCACAACATTGGCTTGTTTCCTTAGAAAATTGAATGGGCTGTAATGAATGAAATAATACTGTACTATTTTTAAAAAACGCTGAAATGCTGACAGGCTGTAAAGTGATAGGAAACAAGGGTTTCACTAACTGATGACTGGGGGAATATATTAAGTGACCTTTTTTGGTGTTGATAATTTATACATTTTAAAGACATTACAGAGGTGAAATATGTGCATAGTTTTGACATTTCAGGCTTGGAACAAGTCTTGTATCTTGAAGTATTAACAAATTTTAAAACTTGCTGACTTGAACTAGCTTGATTTTGGAGGCAAGGCTTGGGTTTGAATCCTGCCTCTGCTGCTTTCTAGCTTTGTGCCTTGAGCAAGTCATCTACTGCCTCCAAACAGAAAGTTTATCCATCTCTAAATGGGGTTAGTAGCATCTTTTTCATACTGTCATTGAAAAGACTGAGACTTTATGTATAAAACAGTGAGAAAAACAGTGTTTGGTGACATTTCATGCTCACTAGGCACCAGGTGCAGCTTTAGACAGGAGACACACATCAGTTTGTTTAACTGTGCTGTTAACTTCATCGAGGTGCTTTTATATCCACCTCTTAAGACGAGGAAACTAAGGCACACAGAGATGTGTTTTCTTCAGCATATAGTGAGCAATCAATGGTTGATTTGTTGTTATTTTACCATAATTATAAATCTTTCTACTGGAGGTTTCCTATCATTGATGATCTATTTATGCAGTGGCTGTTAAACATTAAATTAAAAATGATGTTCACATATTATTTGTTGTACAAATAGTTATTATTCATTTGTCAATATCTTTTCCCAGTTCCCACTCACTATTATTTCTCCTCCTCTTATGAACTTGAGCCTGGGCTGGATTAGTAGCATATCACAAAGGTAGATGATATCACATGCGATGTCTGCAACAAGCCAGTAGTGTGTGTTGTCTGGTGTTTGATATGGAAAGACCACACGCAGGGGTATCAGCCAGCAGTTCCAGTTATAGGCAATGGTGACAAGCAAGAGCCACAGGAGATAGAGTCGATCTAGAAAAACAGCAGCTAGAGTTATCCAAATGGCATGGAACAAATATGAAAAGAAGTCTCTGGCTTAGTAAAGTCAAGTTGAGACACTATCCTTTGGATATAAGCAACTTATAATAAGGGACTCTAGTAAACATTCATTACAAATCTGCCGCAAGAGTTGAAGGCATTGTGCCATTAAAGGATAGAAAACAATCTTATCATTGCTGCACAAGTGGACAGTTTCCTTCCTGTCTCTTGGCCACACTGAATTTGTCCCAATGGGTAACAACCATTTTGATTCAAATGGAGACCCAAGAAAATTCTGGGAGACCTTGCTGAGGCCTCTCTGCAGCATCAGACAGGTCTCTGGCTTTTCAGGATGCAGGCTTGAGGACAGAGGGAAAAAGGCCACATCTTCCCAGATGATGTCCAGTGTTGAGTGGGAAGAGCAGAGAGCCAGCCCACTAGAGTCCACGTAGGCATACTGCCTACCTTTGCTGAGGCCCTGGGAGGGAATTTGTTTGATTTAAATAGTTAACAGCATGAAACCATGGAAGAAGATGGACACTTTCTAATGATTCTGTTTTTCCTTGTTAGTATGGATATTAATCAGTGCTTTGGGGCCTTCTTTCTAAAGGTAATTAGGGATAGGACCAGCCCTAGGCTTCCTTTGACAAATAGGCAGAGATATTTTCTCTCTCATCTTTACCAGAGAGGAGAATTAATCCTTTGCAGATCATATAGTTTAAATTCCACTTTCTTGACAGATTCAGAAAATGGGGTAGGGAAACCAAAATCTACCTGTAACTTCAAATCACAAGGGTTTTTGGTGAAAGCCAACCCTCCCAATGGGAAACCCTTTGCTGATACCTGTGTGTGAATCTATGCTTCTTGGAAGTCTCATTCTCTTCATGTATTTTGTCAAAGGCAATGTCTGGAATCTCCACTGCAATATGCCGCAGTAGTGCTCTTTTTTAAGATTAGAATTGCTTTCTTGTGTTGATGGTACAGTTATGGGCTTTGCTTTAAAGGATAAAAAAGAGGGCACAGTTAAAATAGGTTAAGTTAATGTACATTAGCTTAGTGAGCAAAAAGCTTAGATTTAAACCCTGCAGAAAATTGGAGAATAGATGGTCTTTATCTCAACCTGATAAAGGCTATCTATGAAAAACCTACAGCCAACATCATACTAAATGGTCAAAAACTGAAAAACTTCACACTAAAATCAGGAACAAGACGAGGATGTCCACTATTACCACTCCTGTTCAATATAGTTTTAGAACATTAGCCAAGGCAATTAGACAAGAGAAAGAAGTAAAGGAATAAAGATACAAAATGAAGAAATCAAATTGTTATTATTTGCAGATGACATGATACTCTGTATAGAAAACCCCAAGAACTTCACCAAAAGTCTTCTAGACTTAACAAAATTCAGCAATGCAGCTGGATACAAGGTCAACACACAAAAATCAAAAGTCTTCTTGTACACGATAACAGAATCACTGAATGAGAAATTAGGGAAACAATCCCCTTCACAATAGTATCAAAAAAAGAAAGTATCTAGGAATCAATCTAAAAAAAGAAGCAAAATACTGCTACATTGAGAATTACAGCACTCTGAAAAAAGAGATTGAAGAGGATATAAGAAAACGGAAAGAAATTCCCTGTTTCTGTGTAGGAAGAACCAATATTGTGAAAATGGCCATACTTCCAAAACTGCTTTACAGATTCAATGCAATTCCAAATGAAATCTGAACTGTCTATTTCACAGAACTAGAGAAAACAATCCAAAAATTCATTTGGAACTAGAATAGACCCAGAATAGAAAAAGCAATTCTAGGCAACAATGGCAAGGTAGGGGATATCACAATACTGAATTTGAAACTTTACTACATAGTCACTGTGATAAAAACAGCATGGTACCAGCACAGAAATGGACCTGAAGATCAGTGGAATAGATTAGAAGATGCAGAAACAACTCCAGACGTACTCAGCTACCACATCTTTGACAAAGGAGCCAATCATCCTCACTGAAGGAAAAATAGCCTCTTTAATAAATGGTGTTGGAAAAACCGGATTTCAACTTGCCAAAGATAAAAACTAGGCCCCTTTCTTTTACCATGCACTAAACTAAAACCCAGGTGGATTAAAGATGTAAATATTAAAACAGAAACACTAAACTTGCTGGAAGATAAGCTAGGTAGACACTTGAAGACACTGGCATAGAAAAAGACTTTATGAACAAATCCTCAGCAGCATGGGAATTAGCACAAAAAATCAACAACTGGGATTTCATCTTTTTAAAGTGCTCCTGCAGTACAAGAGAAACCATTAACAGAACTAAATATTTTTTCCAACTGTTCCTCAAACAAAGGTCTACTATCTAAACTATATAAAGAACTAAAAAAAAAAAAATCAGACCTCCCAATATAAAGATACAATTCAAAAATGGGCAGCTGAAATAGACATTTCTCAGATAAAGAAGTAAAAGCAGCAAATAAACACACAAAAAAATGTTCAACATCACTGGTCATTTGAGAGATGCAGATGAAACAATACTGAGATTGCACCTCACCCCACAAAGAATGGCTGCTATCATAATGTATAATTGATATTGTGAAATAGGAAGAAAAGGTCTAAAGGAGCAGGGGAAGAAGGAGGGGTAAGGAAAGGTAAGAAGGAAAAGAAAAATATGAGAAAAGCAAAAAAAAAAAAAAAGGAAACAAAGTTTTTGGAAATAGGGAAGGGTGGCATGGGAAAAGGGAGAGCGGGGGAATGGGGAAAAATAAGAACCAAGATACATCATGTAAAGGTGCAAGATCCCAATGATGAATGTAACTGAATTGTATACCTAAAATGTGCCAATAAACTTAATGGAAAACAAATCTGGAAAAAAAGCTTAGGTTTGATGGAGGTATAATATTTGAAAATCTTTCCCTTCTCAATATGGGCAAATGTTTAAAATAGTGATATTTATTTCACTGTATGTACATCAGAACATTATGTTGTGCACCTTAAATATATATAGTGACATGCATAATAATATTGAAAGCACTGGAATTTGAGAAATACACAAGTTTAAAACTCATTAACAAGGTGTACAGAACAAATGCCATGCAACTTTATGCTCTACTTAATTGTTCTTATTAGTTTTCATAAATACATTTCTGTAATTATTATAAAGGTTTATAGTCATCCCTCCCCTTATGTAATTGCCTAATTGCTTTGTTGGATACTCAGGTAGTATTCTTGTATACCATGTATATTATAGGTATTCTTAATTATTACCTATATTAAAACTTGTTATAGTTTTTGTGGATGGTCCATATATGTAGCTTGGGCCTGAAGAATCCAGGCCTTCTGGAGAAGTTGTCTGAAATGCTAGAAAGATAACAGCATTCTCTAGTAGTAACTAACTGTATCCTCTTTTATTAGGATAATTCCTAGGTTTGGTTCACACAACTTTTTTGCTGGATCAAGCCCTGAGTGCTCCCCTCCCCACGATCTTATTAATGCATCCTGTCTTACCTCCCTTAACTGTCACCCTTGTCACTTTCACCTTTTTGGATCACTCTCAAAATAAGCAGTTTATACCTAATCATTGTCTGAAGGTCTATTCTGGGGAACCTATTGGAGGCTGATCAGACTTCTAATCACCTGTCCAAGGGTAAGACTGCAGGATAATAAAAGACAAGACAAGATCTTAAGGCATAAATGAAGGGCCCACAATGTGAAAGCTCTTATCAGGCTAAGACACTGTCTCCTGGAGCTTGCCATTATTTATTTAACATACAACTTCTTGAAGGGGTAAGTGGCAGTGTAGGGAACAGTGACGTGGACAGCACTGATGTGAGCAGGGTTCTAGTAATAAGAAAACAAGACAATCTAGTAGGAATAGACCATTGATTCATGGGAAATTTGTTTTTTCCCATAGATTAATTTCTGCCTTCATAGAAGTTTTGTGTATGAGCCACACTGCCCTTAGCTGAACTATTATCTTGTCATCCAAGACTTCATGGCATCACAGTTCATTGAGACCTCTGCTGTGACCAATGGTGTGGGGAGCTGTTCCCTTCCCACACACAAACTGCTGGCTCTTCAGGTAATTGTGGGCCAATAGGAAGATTCAGACTTACTATGAAAAGCCATTTTATGAATTTGTAGCTCACTCAGGATGGCCCATCAGGGACCCAAACTGAATAATTTGCAAAATACATGTCCCCTCACAGCTCCCCTTTTCCAAGTTTTTTGTGGGAACAATGCTTACCAGTACGTGGGCTGTCTTCAGGTGAGGATATTTCTCCCTCTATCAACTTTGTCTTGTATAGAGCTGTTCTCTGTCGCATGTTTTTCACCAGGTTGTGAAGATGGGCATCAGCATACTCATTTATAACAGGGACTACAAGTGGGCTAAAGGAGGGAAAAGAACAGATAGAGATGGGCCTATGAGTAGATACCTATAATGATGGGGATAGATTATTTTTCACCTTCCTTATATAATCAATATTAATAATTTCAGATTAAAATATTAAAATTTAATGGAAAAGGTTAGAGTAGATATAGACTTGTCACTGAAAAATGATTATTCTTGACATACTGGATCATGATGGCTGTGGTTCTTGTTAGGGAATTGATCATGATATTTTGTGATGCCGCTATCACAGGCTGATTTTCCTGGTGCTTCTTGGCTCTTAAAATTACCTCATGCTCTTATCTTTAGTTTCTCTCTCCCCAAGGCCACAGCGGTCCAGAGAAGTTAAAACCTGCTTCTGCAGGACTGAACCCATAAAAGGAAACCTGGCCTGTGATAGGTTAAAAGTAGCCCACTCCTCATAAATAAACAATAGCCCAGACCTTCCTTTCTTTGTTCTTCTCTCTCTTTCTTCTTCTTCCTCCTCTCTTTCTGCTCTCTCTCTGCTCTTTCTGTCTGCTCTCTCTCTCTACTCCCACTCCTTGAATAAAATCTCCAGTTGGACTTCTCAGTGTGTGTGGCCTAGTTGTTGAGCATCGCTGTTCCCTTTCAGTGGTGTCAGAAGTGGGATCCGGGATTGCCAGGTCCACAGGTTGGAATACCTGGGGATCCTAAATCCGGATACCAAGACACTCCAACTCAGCCCCCACCTGACGTCCGCCACCACCTTCATTGGCACCGTTCTTGCAACCAACACCGATCCACCTATTTTCAGGCCTGCACCAGATATTGGGTAAATTCCCCCATTCTGAGACATCTTTTGGGTAATGGAAGGTCCAGGGTCCCAGGGTCCCAGACCTCCATGAGGACATCCACCTCTGGATGTGACTGGCCTGGCACCTGGCCTTCCATCTTCCACTGCAAACCACTGGGTTTGCTAAGTTGAGTCCGGGACTCAACTGGGCCTCCTTTGCCCCTGCTCGGGATGCCTTGAGGGAGTAGAGAGGCTTTCCACTTTAAACTCCCTTCCTGCACAAGAGACATCTTTGCAGGAAGCTTGAGTTCCACCTTCTAGACCGGGTCTAGAAAAGGGGGTCTCATCAGAACTCTAAGAGATATCTGGACTTCTGATAACCTTCTGTCCTGGTGGTCATGGGCTCTGTTTCTTCTGTACCAATAGACTCTCCTTTGGGATGCTTACTCAGGAATTTGAATGACCTTGACCTAAAATCCAAGTGGCTAATTTGTTTATCCACTCAAATTTAGCCCCAATATCAATTAGACTATCAAAATGTCTAGCTGCCTAATGGCTTCCTTGAAGCAGGTCTAATTCAAGACCTATATTACTTTTGTGAGCATCAAGGAAAATGGTCAGAGATTCCTTATGTCCAGGGTTTTTCTTATCTTAGCAACCAGCCCTCTCTTTGTTCCACTGGCTGGAGACTCTCTTCTATTGCCTCCTCCCACACTTCTGCTAGCCCACAGTCCCTCCACCACCAACCCCCTCCCTCTTAATTCTTCAGACCAGCTGAACCTGGCTGATGACCCTCCCCCATACCTGGCACCAAGAAACCAACCTACTCCTCCCCCTACCCTATCTGACTCATCCTCTCTTCCTAGATCTCCTACCCCTCCCATTTCCTTAACACCTCCTACCACTCTGGCCCATGCTCCAACCCCACCTCTCACTCATTCCAAGTCCCATATGAGCCACATGATGGCACCCTTGCACGAAGTAGCAGGAGTTAAGGGAATTGTCCGCGTTCATACTCCCTTACCCATGACGGAATTGGCTCTCATTTAAGCCAGACTTGGATCTTTCACCCCCAGTCCAACAACTTTTGTAAAACAATTTCAACTCTTGACACAGTGTTATCAATTAACCTATCATGATCTTTTTGTTGTCCTAACTAATGCTTTAACTCCTGAAGAAGGCAAAAGAAGGCAAACTCCTCTATCAGGCCTGGGCTTATGCAGATCAAGAACACTTGACAAACAGTCATCATCCGGCAGGTGCTGTTGCTGTCCCAGAATGAGATCCAGGATGGGACTACAGCACTGAGGCAGGGCTTGAAGCTCAAGAAAGGTATATTAATTGTCTCCTTCATGGGCTCTGCAGAGCCACCATGAAGTCTGTAAATTATGAGAAGCTTAATGAAATTATTCAAAATAAAAATGAAAATCTGCCTGCCTTCTTACAAAGGCTGACTAATGGCCTCTGCGAACATACCAAACTTGACCCTGAGTCTGTCAATGGCCACAGATTAATTATGATGCATTTCTTTTCTCAGAGCTACCCTGATATTAGACTCAAATTAAAAAAGCTGGAGAGGGGAACTTTGACTCCCCCTGCAGAAGTTCAGGCCACAGCATTCAAAGTCTATCATGACCATGATGATCTCAAGATCACCAAAAAGTACCAGTTATTGGCACAAGCCTTCAATCCTACCAGGCCACAGTTGCCTCAAGGAAAGGGACCCTTCAGGGGGGTCCCCTCATGCACTAGGACCCTGTTACCAGTGCAATCAAGAGAGTCACTGGGCCAGAGAGTGCCCAAATCCCAAGGCACCTACAAAGACTTGTCCTAAGTGCGAACAGAGGGAACACTCGGGTGTCGACTGCCCCTTGGTGTCCCCCCGCCATTGGGCTGTGGGCCCCACGACTCCCCTGAGCAATGACCTGATAGGTCTGGCAGCAGCTGAAGGGCTATAAAGAGGCCCTGGCACAACTGGCCCAATATGGATCACTGCCCAGGAGCCCAGGGTGACCTTGATTGTGGCAGGTAGGACTATTGCTTCCTTATTAGACACTGGTGCCAACTTTTCTGTATTGAGAGAATATTGGGGACCTACCTCCCTGTCTCAGACCTCTACTGTTGGGGTAGAAGATCAAAAACAATGCCCTCAACGGACTCCCCTACTGTCATACACAATTGGCGACTTTTCATTTCTTCACTCCTTCCTAGTCCTCCCATCCTGTCCCATTCCCTTATTGGGTCATGGCATTTTATCCCAGATTGGGGCATCCATTCATTTTTCTATGCTGCGCCCTTCCAGCACTCCAACATCTTCCTTTTGTCTTTTGTTATTTCAAGCTTTTGAACCTCCAGTCTCCACATCCAAATGGCTGATTAGTCCTTCCCTCAAAGACCCCCAGGTGTGGGATGTTCAATCTCCTTCAGTGGACAAATGCCCCTGGTTAAGGTCCTCCTCAAAGATCCTTCATGATTTCCACATCAGGCACAATATCCCCTCCCTCATACAATCCTAGAGGGTTTAGCTACCATCATAAATAACCTATTAGAAAAGGAGTTTCTGAGACCCACCAACCCTCCATTCAGTACCCCCATTTGGCAGTAAAAAACCCCAATGGAACATATCACTTGGTTCAAGACCTCTGAATCATTAATTCTGCCACTTTCCCCATTCACCCTGTTGTGCCTAATCCTTATACTCTCTTGTCCTCAATCCCATCTAATGCCACTCATTTCTCCATTCTAGACCTCAAAGATGCTTTCTTTTCGATCCCCTTACATAGAGACTCCCAGGGCATTTTTGCATTTACCTAGACTGATCCCTTCTCTAATATATCTACTCAATTAACCTGGACTGTATTGCCCCAGGGTTTCAGAGACAGTCCTCACCTAACTGCTTGCCATATCTGCTATTTTTCACTCGGTAAATTTACCTCAATGATTATTCTTGACATACTGGATCATGATGGCTGTGGTTCTTGTTAGGGAATTGATCATGATATTTTGTGATGCCGCTATCACAGGCTGATTTTCCTGGTGCTTCTTGGCTCTTAAAATTACCTCATGCTCTTATCTTTAGTTTCTCTCTCCCCAAGGCCACAGCGGTCCAGAGAAGTTAAAACCTGCTTCTGCAGCACTGAACCCATAAAAGGAAACCTGGCCTGTGATAGGTTAAAAGTAGCCCACTCCTCATAAATAAACAATAGCCCAGACCTTCCTTTCTTTGTTCTTCTCTCTCTTTCTTCTTCTTCCTCCTCTGTTTCTGCTCTCTCTCTGCTCTTTCTGTCTGCTCTCTCTCTCTACTCCCACTCCTTGAATAAAATCTCCAGTTGGACTTCTCAGTGTGTGTGGCCTAGTTGTTGAGCATCGCTGTTCCCTTTCAGTGGTGTCAGAAGTGGGATCCGGGATTGCCAGGTCCACAGGTTGGAATACCTGGGGATCCTAAATCCGGATACCAAGACACTCCAACTCAGCCCCCACCTGACGTCCGCCACCACCTTCATTGGCACCGTTCTTGCAACCAACACCGATCCACCTATTTTCAGGCCTGCACCAGATATTGGGTAAATTCCCCCATTCTGAGACATCTTTTGGGTAATGGAAGGTCCAGGGTCCCAGGGTCCCAGACCTCCATGAGGACATCCACCTCTGGATGTGACTGGCCTGGCACCTGGCCTTCCATCTTCCACTGCAAACCACTGGGTTTGCTAAATTGAGTCCGGGACTCAACTGGGCCTCCTTTGCCCCTGCTCGGGATGCCTTGAGGGAGTAGAGAGGCTTTCCACTTTAAACTCCCTTCCTGCACAAGAGACATCTTTGCAGGAAGCTTGAGTTCCACCTTCTAGACCGGGTCTAGAAAAGGGGGTCTCATCAGAACTCTAAGAGATATCTGGACTTCTGATAACCTTCTGTCCTGGTGGTCATGGGCTCTGTTTCTTCTGTACCAATAGACTCTCCTTTGGGATGCTTACTCAGGAATTTGAATGACCTTGACCTAAAATCCAAGTGGCTAATTTGTTTATCCACTCAAATTTAGCCCCAATATCAATTAGACTATCAAAATGTCTAGCTGCCTAATGGCTTCCTTGAAGCAGGTCTAATTCAAGACCTATATTACTTTTGTGAGCATCAAGGAAAATGGTCAGAGATTCCTTATGTCCAGGGTTTTTCTTATCTTAGCAACCAGCCCTCTCTTTGTTCCACTGGCTGGAGACTCTCTTCTATTGCCTCCTCCCACACTTCTGCTAGCCCACAGTCCCTCCACCACCAACCCCCTCCCTCTTAATTCTTCAGACCAGCTGAACCTGGCTGATGACCCTCCCCCATACCTGGCACCAAGAAACCAACCTACTCCTCCCCCTACCCTATCTGACTCATCCTCTCTTCCTAGATCTCCTACCCCTCCCATTTCCTTAACACCTCCTACCACTCTGGCCCATGCTCCAACCCCACCTCTCACTCATTCCAAGTCCCATATGAGCCACATGATGGCACCCTTGCACGAAGTAGCAGGAGTTAAGGGAATTGTCCGCGTTCATACTCCCTTACCCATGACGGAATTGGCTCTCATTTAAGCCAGACTTGGATCTTTCACCCCCAGTCCAACAACTTTTGTAAAACAATTTCAACTCTTGACACAGTGTTATCAATTAACCTATCATGATCTTTTTGTTGTCCTAACTAATGCTTTAACTCCTGAAGAAGGCAAAAGAGTGCTCTATCAGGCCTGGGCTTATGCAGATCAAGAACACTTGACAAACAGTCATCATCCGGCAGGTGCTGTTGCTGTCCCAGAATGAGATCCAGGATGGGACTACAGCACTGAGGCAGGGCTTGAAGCTCAAGAAAGGTATATTAATTGTCTCCTTCATGGGCTCTGCAGAGCCACCATGAAGTCTGTAAATTATGAGAAGCTTAATGAAATTATTCAAAATAAAAATGAAAATCTGCCTGCCTTCTTACAAAGGCTGACTAATGGCCTCTGCGAACATACCAAACTTGACCCTGAGTCTGTCAATGGCCACAGATTAATTATGATGCATTTCTTTTCTCAGAGCTACCCT